AGTGTGCCAAAGACTCAATCGGATGTTAAAGTATGCATACTTAATCAAAATTTCAAAAATTAAAAATATATTACATAATTAAGTTTAACTAAAATTATCAAATTAAAAAAGGAATCATTTACGCAACTGGAAAGTTCTCAAAGTTCAATTTCTCTTCAAGATAATATTTCAGATAGACAAATCAGTCCAATCATAATATAGTACGTATGAACAACCTAATAGGGAGATAGTTAATGAAGATAATTCAGTAAGTATATAATCATTATTTAAATTAAATATTATGAACAATAATTTAGTACTCGCAATGCTTATACAATTTATTTAAATTTTTACTAAGGGAAATTCTATTTTTACTCAGGTTAAAGTCATCAAAATATTACCAATATTATTACTTTAAGTAATCAGATGACTTTATTCTAGGTGAAAATAGAACTTCCCTTTTACTAATTATAAGAATACAAATGATAAATATATTAAAAATACTGAACTATACTTAAATTTGATCTAGTCTATATAATATACACATTAATTAATATTTTCTTATTTATTAAAAGAATGAAATAGATAATTCTCAAGTAATTCCATTGGATATTAATACTGTTCAGGTACTTTTTATGTAAATTATTAATTTTATAAAATATTAATATCATTAAATTAAAAAAGAAATTATCCATGTAGACTGATAGTTCTGACGATAATTGGGAAACAAATTCTCAAGTAAGGAATTTGAAAAATCCTGAATAAAATAAATATATTTATTACTAAATAAATAAATATATATAACAGGACCAAACCAATAAATACTTCGATATTCAAATCAAAGGTATCCCAAATCCAATAATGATCAGTAATAAACCAATAGATAAGCTTTTCAAAAAAATCCAAGAAGGATTTGAGGAGTGTTCTTTGCATACAATAAATAATATTGATAGTTATTTCGAGGAGGAGGTTAATATAAGATGTCAAATCAGAAATATCTACAGAAAAATTTTAGACAGAAGAACTAATTTTAATAATGCAAGGGTTCAATATATTCATTCACTTTGTAAATTGGCACAAATTTTCTATGAATTAACAAAAAAGGTAAAAGAACTAAAAAAAGATAATAAGTTCTCAGTTTCTAGATTTATTGAGGAAAAAGATCAAGAAACAGGTAGATGGAGACAAAACTCTGATGCAAATGAATGGAATAGTTTGTTTGTAAAAGGTGAAACAATTAAAGCACAGGTATATTAGATTATAAAAGAAGAAGCATTGGGCATTATAAAAGAAGAAGCAAGAATCAGGGATGAGATGATCGCAGCATGGCGTTTCTTCATGCTTGTTGTGCATTTAGGGTGGAATGTAATTTCTAAGAGCAAAAGAATTGATCCGAATAGATTAAAGGTCATGCCAAAATCTAAATGGGAAGATTTTATTAAAAATATAAAAGAAAAATACTTAGTCGATATTGATTATAAGCTTATTGAAAAAAACTTAAAAGAAGTAGAAGATAATTTTTAGAGCAAAAATTTTAAAGTTTCAAACTTTGTATAAGATTGGTTAAACTTTTTTCTGTCATTCTGGTCTTTATACAAAATAATATGTACTGTATTAATTAATTATTTGCAGTCTGGTTTAGATTCAAATGGGAGACATATTTGGTAATAGTTTAACTAGAAACTTAGAATGTACTTCTATAATTTTACACACATTGCAATATAATATTCTTGGTTATTTTAATTCTCAATTACCATTATGTAATTTGGAATTTTGACATTTTTTTAGTAATCACACTACAGGAATTAATTTAAGATCTTTAGCAAGCTTCTTTTGCATATTCTTTAAAAACATATCTTACAGTATGACTATTACATGATTTCGGACCGCGAAATCATATAATGGTTTGGCTTTTGAACAATAATTTCTTGATATGTCAGTTTAAAATAGTGATACACTAATTAAATAACAATGATATCCTAATGCTATTTTTCATCTAAAAATCAATATTTGCATTAATACAAAGTAGTAAGATTATATCTTAAATTTCTGTACTGAAAACTTTATTAAATAAAGGCTAATTTCTTTTGCGAATTTGAGTTTTTTTGTGATTTCTTGTTTTTAATTTGCATTTCTAATGATTCATGCTGATCTTACAATTGGTTTGAATAAAGATCACAGGACCACAAAATTTGTATCATCAGTATTTTACTCATCTCTGCCACAAAACATTCATTTTTGATACTTCTGCATCTACTTTTTTGATACATCTAAACATACTCTAAAATTTTTATACTTTAAATAACTTTACTATAATTACGTGCGATCTTATTGGTTAGTTTTAAAGTATGTTTATATGTATTAATAAAGAGGTGTAGGAATATTACAATGTATGTTTTGCATCTCTGCCATAAAGTAGGCAGAGATAAAGTCATATGATAAAGTGTTTTCAATAGGTCATAAAACTGTGTTGGCTATCCAAAAATTTTTGATTCATCGGGTTAGTCCGATGTCATGTGTTTTAATATGAAGATATTATTACACGCTAAGTATGTAAACTTATGAAAATTTTATAAAGACTATTATATTCTAAATAGTTTGTAATAGTGATAGTAAGTTTCTTAGTTGATTTCTATATTCAGTTGAATTTCTTTATAAATTATATGACATAATTATTAAAATATTTTATAGTTTTATTAGCAGTTCCTAGATGACACCTAAGTCAAAGCAACGATGTTATCGTTTCGAAAAGGTAATAAATCTTGTTTAAAAAGTAATTTTCGACAGCTTTTAATACTTTGTAATTATTATAATTTCTAAAATAGCTCTATGAATATTAAGTTCACTTATTAGTTATCTCAAATTATTTTTGATTTTTTTTTGTTCACCAAATTCTTTTTTCAAAATTTCTGCTAATTCAATAAGCATATCAAGAACTCATAATTGATATTACAATGAGTCTCTAATTCTAAGAGCAGGTTCTAGTATGCACAACTTTTAGTGCATTCAATGAATCATTTTAAATTTTTTTGATAATTTTTTTATTTTATAGAAAAAATACATATCTATTAAATAAAAAAAATATTTATTTTAAATCAATAATCATTAAAAAATTAGATTAAAAGATTGAACTATGAAATTTTTGTTTTTATTAATTTTTTAATTGATTATTAATTAAAATTACATGAAACTTATATAGTAGATAGAGAACCCTTTTTTTTATAAAATAGTAAAATATTATTAAAATTAGATTGATAGTTATTGAAATATTTGCATAAAAACATAACCATTTATCAAATTTATCAACATCCTAAAAATAGTTAAATAACTTGTTAATTATGCAAATATATGATCTAAAAATGATATGGCATAATCAACAACAAATAAGGATTAATATAGAATCATCAAGAACATAGATTAATTTGTAAGTTTTGAATTTATAAGCCAAGTCCTTAGATGTAGAAATATTTTTGACATCCCCCGGTACAAAACCTGTATTTGGGCTTCAAGTAAAATCCAAACTTTAGTAAAATTAAATTCAATATCTATTTATAATTTTTGATCATTATACATAAGTTTACAGTTATGCCGTTGATAATATAATGAGTGCATAAACCGTTAATAAAAATAATTAAAAATCAGTGCATATAATTTCCAAGAATTATGCCCTACTTAAATTTGATCATAAAGCAAAACTAACAGTATAAACATATCACATATTGATATAAAAAATTTTAATAATAGTAGTTTAACGCTAAATCCTATTTATAAAAGTTTTTGCAATTCATTTAATAAATTAATCACTTTTTCATGATTACAATTTGCTGCTAACTTTAAATATAATGACTCAAGTTCTTCATTTTTTTGTATACCAAGTTTTCCTTTTAAGTAAATAACTCCTAAAGAATATATTGTCTCAACATTCTTATTGTCAGCAGCTAATTTAAGATAATGTAAAATTTCTTGCTTAGTCTCATCATCATTATTTTTAAGATTAGAAATTAACAAAGCAGCATATCAATACTGAGTATCATCTACTTTATATCCATAAGGATGATCATTATCAGTAGCTTCTTTAAAAAGTTCCATGGCCTTCTGTTGATCTTTATTCACAACACTATTATACCCATTATACAAATAATATCCTGCCCAATATTTTGCTGATAAATTGCCAAGATTAGCATTTTCTTCAAAACATTTCTATGCATTTTTATAATCTTTTTTATTATGAAGTTCAATTCCTTTTTTAAGATCCATCACCAAGTCAAATGATGGAACATCCATCTTCTCTCCTTCAAAATCTAGTATTCCATTTTTTAATAGTGAAGGTTCACCCAGTAAAATTGGATAATTCACAGCCAATACTTCAAGTTTTTTACTTAGCTTTATAACTTCTATTCTTTGTTCTGGTATTTGCTGCCATGCTATTTAGTGATTAAGCAAAAGTAAAATTAAAATAAAGGCATGAAAGTTACAAATGTATTGAATTTAATCTTACTCTTTTCGACAATTCTAATAAATACTTTTTGAATTTCCAGATTATTAAGATTTTCAAATTTTCTATATGAAAGTTTTTCTCGTTTAGCACTTAAAATGTGATCAGAGATGTCTTTAGGTTTCCAACCTTTGTAAGGTGACTTTTTATAACAAAGTTCCCAAATTAACATCCCAAAACTATTTTCAAAGATTAGTCGTTAAAACAAAAAAAAGTCTAATTCAAATAATCTTAATTAGATTAAAGCTGCATATCTAAATATTTCACAATTAAATATATAGATGTTTTCATTATATTTTCTCTGTTTATATTTCATTATTAATTCAGGAGCCATCCAATAAAATATATCTGTGGCTATACCTGAAAGATTTTTGGTACTGGCATCTACCGTACGCGTGTATCTAAAATTTCCAAGCTTTGAGTCCAAGTTACATAGTACCTGTACTCTAATATGTTAATTGCTATTTGATATTGATACATTTTTTTTAATAGTAATTTCTTAATAGTACTTACTAAAACATTTTTGCATCTAAGATCATGATGGAAAATATTTACACTACGTAAAAAAACAAGACCACGACAAATATCTCAAGCAATTTGTATTTTTCTAGTCCAAGAAATATCATAAACATTATAAAGATCCTTTAATGATCCATATTCAGCCCAATCAAAACCATAACTTCACGATTATCAGCAAGTGAAAGGCTATAAAAATGAAGAATATACGGCGAATCACCCAATTTTTCAAGTATTCCCAACTGGTTATCAAAGTTTATAGAATTTTTTATTGGTTTACAAACTACTTCAATCACGTTATTTAAAACTATTTTCATAACATGACCGCAAATATCCTTATCAGTTGAAACAAGAGGGTTATTCAATCAATTTGGCTCAATTCTGTTCACATGAATATCGCTTGACTGCTTAGCTATTTGGGATTGTATAACGTTAATTTTATGAACTAACACATCAAGTTTGTGATTAGTATTTTCAATTTCAACAACAACTTTCTTGAGAGTCTAAATAAACTGAATATATATCTATATATTAAATAAATAAAATTTTAAATTATAGTTCAGAATTCTGACTAATTCACATACCTCTTCAATCTCTTCTAGAGATTTATTAACTTCTTGAGACTCTGCATCTCTAGCTTCTTTATTAGAGATGTCAATAGCAAAATGTAGTTCATTCATATACATATCATATTTTTCTGTTAATTTTTCATATTTACTTTTAACTTCCTTTGTATTAATATATTTTTTATAACCTTTAAATTTTGATACTTTCTCTGTAAATTCTTTTACATTTGCCAAGACATTTTCAAAACATTTAAATGCAATATAATATCTTTTTTCTGAAGTTTTTTTTCATCACTTATATTTCTCATAATTGTTTCGATAGCATATTCTGCAGCTTTTACTCGATTTGTCATAATTAGACAAATCTCTTTATTACATTCTGCATTCTTGTAAATTTGATAAATTTCTTTAGCTATAATATTTATCGTGCCAACTATAGGAAAATATATAGCATAGATTTCAGTAGTAGTTTCGATAATATCCATAATTATGATAATTGCTAAAGGTATTTCTAAAGGTAATACATCTCTATTAATATTAATTTAACAATTGCATAGCATAAAAATTTTGGTCATACGTACGTACTAACTACATATAATGATAGATAGGCTGATATGCATGTAAGTACTTTATACGTAATGTTTATACAAAGTTAATAATTCTATAGTTGTCCAAGCAAAAAGCATAATGATAACATCGCATGATGGTATTGTTTACTAACTGGATAGGGAGTTGAAGACAAGCCACAATTTATTAGTATAGATTCAAATAGGCTTGAAGTAAATTACTCTGGTATGATGAAATATTTATAATTATTGAGAAACCTTACAGAAGTTATCTCATTTTAATGAGTATTAATCGTTGTGGTCAAGAATAGCATTAAAATTCACATAGCATGTTAATCTATTAAAAATTTTGACTTAAAGATCCTGATGATAGTAAAGCAG